GAAATAAAAAATATATTTTATTATTGAAATAATTAATGATGTTATTAATACCCAAGGACCTTGATCAAAAATTAAAAAAAAAAAAAGATTTTAATCAATGGAGTAGAAGGATGAGAACCTAATTTCTCCTAAATACAATCTTATAGACTTTTCTAGTACATGGATGTGGTAGCATCTCTCTCTCTCACTCTCTCTCTCTCTCAATCAACTAAAGAGATCTCTACTTTTTAATTGATTTAATTTATAGTGGTGTAGCCGTGTAGGTTTGTAGAACCCTCACTTCACATTATTGAACCTGGATCCTCGCCGGATTCTCTTTATGAGAATATTAGAAATCCATGAATTGTGTCTGTTTATTATATCGTGCGGTTAGAAATCATTTTAAATTTTTTGGTGCTTTAGATTTTGGCCCTTACAACTCATGATTCCTAGATAAAAACTCATCTACATATAACGTTTAATAAAAGCCCAAATTTAAAATCTGCAGCCACATCGAAACACTATTGACCTACTAATACAATTTATTTACTCCCATGCCACTTTCCCAAATCCCTAAATTTATTCCAAATTTAAAGTTGTAGAAAAAGTGAAATAAAATATATGAATTGTTGCATTTCATTAATTGTATCCATATCATACCAAAAATTAACCTTTTTGTGATATATATGTTTTGCATTAATTGGGAAGTAAATTAATTTGTTCCAATTATTAAAAAAAATTATACTAAATTCATATTATATATTTTGAATCAAATAACACTTCTCAAACTTGTAGGTAAATTAATTTTCATGTATTGTTACATATATTAGGCACGTTTTATTGTTGTATAAATATAGGCATGACATAATATTTTTCAATATAATACATCAAATTACATTTCTTCTTGTTATGGGTAAATTATTCTCCATGTATTAGTGAAAAAAAAAGATATTATACTACACACGGGGTATAATATTTTGTAGGTAAATTATTGGAAATTAATTTGTAGGTAGGTAAATTAATTTGTTCCAATTATATAAAAATATATATATATATATACTACACCTAGATTATATATATATATATATATATATATATATATATATATTTTTTTTTTTTTTTTTTTGAGAAAACCTAGATTATATATTTTGATTCAAATAACATTTTTGTATACATGGTACGTAAATTACTTTTCATGTATTATTACATATATTAGCCTATTAGGGACTTTTTTTTTGTGAGATCCCACATCGTCCGGGGGAGAGGAGGTGATGTGCCTTATATGTACATACCCACCTCCCTATAGTAAGACGTGTATTGGGTGGAGGCCCAAGAACAAATCCGTGAGGGTGTGGCCCAAAGTGGGCAATATCTTATTATGCAGACTGGGATGTGACAATTTGGTATCAGTGCCACTCCCCCCCCCCCGCGAAAGTGTGCCGACGAGGGTGTCGAGCCCCTAAGGGGGGGTAGATTGTGAGATCCCACATCACCCGAGGGAGAGGAGGTGATGTTCTTTATATGTACATGCCCACCTCCCTATGGTAAGACGTGTTTTGGGTAGAAGCCCAAGAAAAAATCCGTGATGGCGTGGCCCAAAGCGGACAATATCTTACTATGCGGACTGAGATGTGACATTTTTGGTAAAAATATATAAAGTAATATGTATATGATTGTTTGCAGGTAAAAAGATAAAATCAAAAGCATGACCCAATTCCTAAGTTTATGCAATATTTTGTTGTTGGTATACAATATTTTGCATCATTGGAAATGAACATTTCAAATAGTAGGTAGGTAAATTAATATGGTCTAATTATATAAATACACATACACAGAAATATATATATATTTATACACATTTTGAATCAAATAACATTTTTGTACATGGTAGGTAAATTACTTTGTTATATGTATTATTACATATATCAGGTTTTTATTTATTTATTTATTTTTATTTTATAAAAATATATATATATGAACTCATAATGCCAGATACATAGAATTAAGCCAAATATTCTCATATTTGATATTAATATGCAATGAATTTTTTAACATTAAGGTCTTATTTTTCTTTTTGCAAAATCATTAACTCTCTCCTTATAATCTGAATAGAATTAATTGTGCACATCAAATATGAAATAAGGGTATTTTAGGCATCTAAAATATGTAAAATGTGTAAAGTAATATATAATTAATGAATTCACTTAGGTGGATCCTAGTCATTGGGTTTTTTTAGTAAAAAAATTATGGCGAGTTTTATATGGAAAATATTGAATTTGAGGGATTAAAGTCATATTTTCAGTAAAAATTTTTTTATATATAATTAAGCACAAATAGTACCTTACAAAAACTGGCCGCACGATTTACGATAAAAGGATATGATTCACGAATCTCCGAGATCCTCACAAAGAGGATTCAGAGAGGATCTTGTTGGCACATTATTTGATATTTGTTTTAAAAAAATAAATGTTTTTCAGGATATCTACGTCTGTCCACTAAGGCCATCTCCAACCGATTCGACCAGAGGGTCATCGGGCTGAAAATAGCCCGAAATGACACGAAAACCGTTTCCAACCAAGGGCTAGGCCAAAGGGCTCTCGTGGGCCCCACCGGGCCAAAAAAAGAGAAAAGGGCCAACTGGCTGGCCCAACCTAGCCAGCCTCGGGCCGATCCAGCAATTTGAATCCAACGGTTACTTGCTGACATCAGCTAGCTGTTATATTTGATTTTTTTTTTTACAAAATTAAAAAATAAAAAATCTATTTTTTTTTGTATAACGACCTAAGCTATTATACAACATTAAATAACATTAGGTAACATTAAACAACATTAAACAATATTAAACAACCTTAAATATTTAACAACATGGAACTTAAACAACATTTAAAAACATTAAGTTACTCACACATTGACACGTGGCACTCGAAATCCAAGACGTAAATTATTGAGATTTTTTAGCGACAAGAAATCTGCAAAGTTACTCACACATTGACAAGTGGCACTCGAAATCCGAGACGTAAAATTATTGAGATTCTATCTCGAAAAATTATTGACAATCCATAACGTAAAATTATTGAGGTAATTTAATTTAAGTAACCAGAGTAATTCAATTAAAATAATAAATTATGTTTGACCCTATAGCCCTTTGGTTCCTTCGGTTGGAGACGGTTTTATGTCATAGGGCTATGTTTGGCCTATGGCCCTCTGGCCCCTCGGTTAGATATGATAAGAAATATGACCTGACACTGTTTATTAAAATATTAATTTCTTAGAGGGCTATAGGGCCAAAGAGAGCCTTCTGGCCCTCATTCGGTTGGAGATGGCCTAATTGATGTAATTGTAGAGCCATTGATTCCACAAATGTATAAGTCATTCAGTACTCAATTGATTAGGGAATTGATTATCTCTATTGAATTAGAGATATATGTATAATCTGTCAGAATAGTCACACCTCTATACATCGATGACTATGCCTCACATTGCAATAGATGAAATTCTTTAATAAGAATTTCTTCATTCTCTCTCAAATTATTTTTCTCTACAATACGTTACCACTTTTATTCTTAACCAAAACAAAACAATAGAAAATATTCCACCATAACCCTAGAAATATTTTTTGCAGCCACTCTAGCCGCAAGAAAAAAAAAAAATCCTACCAGGTCGTCGTTTTGAAGCAATGTAGTTCGTGGCGAAAAGTCCCCTTTTGAAGCATAAGCTCTGCCGCCTTAAAAACTCCATTCCCCAACTCCGCAAAAGCCTCATGTTACTGCGATTCTGTCCATCCCATTCTAAATATAAAAAACTTGCATATTGGTTTTTCTCACATTTTGACAATAAAATTTCAGTTTTCTGAATTTTGAAAGTAGGATCAATTTTGCAATTTGAAATCTTATTACATTTCATGATTTCAAGTTTAGGCCAAACCCCTCGGTTATGTGTTTAAACATCCTTTGTAGCATGAACACGATTATGATATTTTATTATTGCATATTTTTTTTTCATGTTTTTCATATCGTTTTATTACTTGTTTTGCAAAATTTGCAAAACCCTCATGATAAGAAAAATCATCATGATGCATGAACCTCTTTAATATAATGTTATGCATATTAAATCGAAAACGGTTGTTTGTGATTTTTCATGATAAACATGTTTATATTACATGGAAGCTCAAATGGTGCCTCAATCCCGTTGTTGCAAAACCCTAGCAACTTTATTGTTAGTGGCTTTCCAGAAGTAAGCCCAACTCAACGCCCAAAAGTGCGTCCCCCCATGCATTCAAGTTGAATGCCCACATTGGCTGGCATGTTGGCAACTTAGATTTTTTATTTTTTTTGGGTAATGTTTTTCAGATAACATCTATTTTATTTTTGGAATATTGGGTCGTTTTGGGCAAACTATTAGTTTCTTAAGACCCTTATGGTTATTGTTTTGTTTCTTTTGAAGTTTATGGTCTTGAATAATTTTGGTTTATAAAGTTTTCCTTGGAAAACTTGTTGTGTGACTTAACTTAAACAGAAGATGCCGGGGATGTCGACGCTATGGCCCATGTACTCCTTTTTCCTTCGCCAAGTTTTTATCCTACTAGTTTTGCTTAGGAAGGTTTTTAATGAGCATTAGTTCTGATCTTCCGATCCGACAATAACGGTCACATTACAAGAAAACATGGAATAGGTGACAAAATTTTTTGTGACGCCCAAAAATTCATCACAATTTGGTGTAATAAGTGAGGAATTTTACAAAAGCGTCACATACATACTTGTGTGGGATACATATTTTTTTTGAAATGTTGTTCATCACATAAAAGTCTTAAACTCCTCACAAATTTTTAGGCAGCAAATTTTACCGACCAATGAATTATATTGGGTGATGAAAATTTTGCTTTCTTCACAAAACATAAGATAAGGCCACCTGGGTTAGTGTGAGGAAAGGCAAATCATCACATTTCCTTTACTGAAGACAAAGAAAAGCATAAAAGTAAATAAAATCCAAAAGCCCCAACTCGTTAGAATTCATATGTTCTACTCTCACTCCACTTCCTCTCTTAGCCGACGTTCACTTTTCCCAAATTTGCCAACTGACTGCTGGTGGCGGCAAGTACCATTGCTCTTTCGTCTTCCCCATACCTCTGCTGCTTGCTATCACACTCTACTCTCTTTTGACCTAAGGCGACTTAGTATCTCAGCTACCCTTTCTCCCAATTTCTTATCCAAAGGTACTCAAATCTCTCTCTCTCTCTCTCTCTCTCTCTCTCTCTCTCTCTCTCTTGAAATTACAGCATTTTTTTTATTTCTCTCTTAGAATTTTGTCTTAATCATGAAAATTTTGAATTTTTTATTTATTTTATGTATTGGGTTTTCGAGATATTGGAGAAACCCCAACTATGGAAATCCCGCTCGTGTTATTGGGGTGGAAGATTTTTTCCATTTGTAGTTTTTAATTAAATTTTAGGATGATGTTGATGTATATTTCTAAATTAGGGTTTTCAATATTAGTGTGAATACTTAATGGCATGCTGGTTTTTTTTTTTTTTAAAAAAATTGTACCTAGATTGGTGTGAATACTTAATGCCCTGCTTGTTTGTTTAGCATCTAGCTGCTCTTGAATTTCCTGTTATTTGAATTTATGGAATTCAGTTTATTGACACTCATATTTGTTATGTTATATGTCTGTCTTAACAAATTTTTGAAAAATTGTTATGGCAACCTATTGAACTATGTCAAAATCTGAGGCCCAATACTAGTACTGAAGATAGACAATGGATTTGTTGTCGGAATCACTTTAGTTCCAATTATTAGAGAATGGGTCAAGTCATTCATTCACACTACTTGTTGCCATGTGGACCAGAACAATCAGATGCTCTGTAGAGTTTGTCATAACATTTTTTTTTCACTTAATTGAAGATATTCATCTACATTCGTTGAATTTTAGTATAGATATGAATTATAATAGATGGATAAATTGTTGAATTTGCTACTAGAGTATTTGAATACTTTAGTAGTTTTGTGTCTCTAAATACTTTGTATATTCATGCTTGATGATCATTACAAGACTACACACCTATTAATAGGAAAGAGGGAAGGAGAGCTCGAATAGAGTGAGGTCTATAAGGAGTTGTGCCCCTTGAGATACAATAATGAAGAGAAACACTCCACTACACTTAGTTGAAGAGAATATAATAACAACCAATATACAAACATTAACTGGTTATAAAGGGAAAGCACTTCTAAATAAGAAAGTCTCAACTTGAGATTGTGCAATTAGAGTATTCGATATGCTTATAATGATAATTATTTATGATGCTAGTCTATTATTATTTTTCCTTTTCCAATTTACTAGATGACTTCTATGCAACGAGGAAAGAGGGTGAAACGGGTTAGGGTTGTCCTACCTCTGCATCCACCATCACTACCTTCTCCATTGCCACCACCACCTCCTCCACCGCCAACACCATCTCTTCCACCACATGCTCCTTCACCTGAAGAGCCAACATACATGAACTTAGGTATTTGAGAAAGGCTAATTACAATTAATTTAATTCTTCTTATTAATGTTGTTTTAAACAAGTTATAATGTTGATCAGATATATTTATTTTTGAAATTTATAGAGATAGATTTTGACTTCATTGCAAAAAAGATGACACATGGAAAGTCATGTGGGAAATGCCTCCACAATATTTTGGAGGCCAATGGTGGGAAGAAGATACCGGTCATCTTTGATTTCAAACTTCAAGTTCCAAATGATCTGGTTGTATCAGGTTTTTTCACTACTAAGATAGGGAATATTGTTCGGACTCATTCACCAGTTTGCTATGATAAATGGATGAAGGTCTCACCTCAAGAAAAGAGGACACAGCGAGATAAGTTGCTTGTGAGTTTGATTTTAATTCAGTTTATTCATAATAATTTCAAGCACTCACTCATATATTTTATGGTTAACAATAGGTATTATTTGTGGTGGACCTATCTCATACGAAGATTATTAAATATGTTGATAAGAAGATGGTGAAGTTGTACTCTGTGTTTAGGCACCGGTTGTATAAGTATTACTTGTCATGTGGAACACCTGCAAAAGGACAAGCTAAGCTGCTGAACGATCAGATATGGAATGGGAAACTAAAGAGTCATTGGGACTGGTTATGCGATAATGTTTACGCTACTACCCACTTTTTGATATGTATCCTATCCAATCTTTTCTAATATAAAGCTGTGATAATATTAGACGATATGGGATGACTAATGTTGCATATAACTGATGTTATGGGGTGATTGATGCTGCATATGGATATTAGACAATATGATGCATCATCAGTCACCCCATAGAATCAGTCATAAGCAGCATCAGTCATCCCATATCGTCTAATATAATGATTAGACGATATAGGAAGACTGATGCTGCATATGACTGATACTGCATATAACTGATGCAGCATCAGTCACCCCATATCATCTTATATTCTTATGCAACATCAGTTATATGCAACATCAGTCACCCCATATCCTCAGTCATATGCAGCATCAGTCACCCCATATCATCTAATAGATAATTTAATAAATGTTACCAGCTTATTTAATATATAGGTGCTTTGACATGTATTATATAGTGTTTATGGAAATTAGAATCTAACTGATTGGAAAAGATGTTAGACAATACTATTTGTTAAATTTGAATGAATATGCATGTACAACTCAAACACTTGAATATATATTACAAGTCTGGGAGGTAGGAGCTTTCCAAATTGTACATGTCTACAATACTAACTTTTCTTTTGCTTGTCATCTATCACATGTGTAATTAATGTAGGAGCTTTCAAAGAAAAATTCTGATAATAGGAAGAAACAAAAGTATCATCACAAGGGAGGTGCAAGGCCATTCATCCAACATGCTAGGAAGGCTCACATGGTAATGAAATTAAAGTACTTATAATAATTCATTATGCAATCTCATGCATGTTTCTTCATTATTGAGCATAAATGAGATCCATTATCTGTGATTGATAATTGGGGAGCTCTCCACAAAGGCAAGAACGGCAAGTGGATCAATGGTGTTGCTCAAGACAAATATGTAAGTTATTCATGAGCCACTCAGTTTTGTCATTTTAAATGAGTTTGATATTAAAACAAAAGCTACTAATTATATTTACAGACTGATTATAATTAGTGGTTTCCTTCTAAATAAGTTAATGATCACATACAAGCACTCAAGTTGTGTTTTCTTAAGCATATTATAGCTGGATATGTTTGAAATGAAAAAAAAAAAAAAACTGAATTGTTTCTATTTTATGATGAAAGGATAACATCAAGAAAAAGAAGGATGAACTAAGGGAGAAGCTGACTGAAGAAGCACCTAAGGGCCATTTATTAGATTCTGTACATGTGTCATTGGATAATGAGTTTGGAATCATGGTTGAAAACCTTGGGAGGAAGGGAAAATCTGTTAATGGTGTAGGTGTTTTTCCTCGAACAGATACCTATGGTTGCAGTTCTTCTATGGCTTCAAGTTCTGAGTTAACTGACATGAGATCTCAGATCAAGCTTCTATCAGATGGTTTCCTTATATTGCAACAAGAGAATGAACAATTAAAAGCTCGATTGGATTTACAGAATGTTGATGAAAATATGTTCATAAAAATCAAGGCTTTTTTGGTTATAAGTCAGGGGAAGACCAATAAAAACTTTAAGGAATCAAATGGTGATATTTTAGAGGGTGAAAATACTTATCTTGAGCTAGAAGAACATGATTTGGAAGAGGACTGATTTCGATATTATGTCTTTTGCTGTTAGTTTCAAGTTTCCACATGGTATACCTCTTTTGTTAGCACCTAAATGTGTCTTAGACTTCTCTTTTGTTAGTACCAAAGCTACCTATAATAGCACCAAAGCTGTCTATAAGTGTTAATGCCCTTCATTATTCTGGCGTAGCATGCTTCTATTTTGTTAGTACATGAAGCTGTCTTTTGTTAGCACTAAGCTGTTTTAGACTTCTCTTTTGAGATAGGTTACCATGACTTTAATTTTGGGGACGTACACTTGGTGAATGTATTCGACTTATGTGCTTAAATTGTTGATTAATGAAAATGTGATGTATTACCTATAATTGTTATGAACTGCAATTCTAGATTACGAAGCAGGAAAAAACAATTAATTTGTCAATATTATTCCTAAATAGGTATCTGATTTAAACATATGTGACTTAAGTTGTGCCACATATCAAAGGAATATGTGACGATTTCAACGTTGCTAAGTGCAACTATATCATTATGGCATCATATTGGGTGACGATAATGTAGAAACTGAGAATCTAGATAGAGATTTCAGTTAGAGAGAGAGAGAGAGAGAGAGTAAAATAAGATTGTGATTTCATTAACATCAACCGATCATTACACAAGGTATATATACATAAATATCTTATCCCAACCATAGGTGCCAGCTAAGCATAATCTACAACTAATCACTAACCATGCTAAGCTTAATAGCTAAGTAAACATCTAATCTGGTACATTGTTACTACGAGAGGTTGTACTCTCAACACACCCTCTCAAGCTGAAGGTAGGAGATCGAATTGAGAGCTTGTGAGTAAGATCTGCAAATCTATCAGCAGCTAAAGACTTGGTAAAAATATCAGCAATTTGAAGAGCTGAAGCAACATGATACACACCAATATGACCAAGTAAAACTTTCTCCCGGATATAGTGATAATCAATTTCAACATGTTTTGTCCTAGCATGGAAAACATGATTGAATGCAAGCGCAATTGCACTTTTGTTGTCACAGTATATGGTAGGAGTCTGTAATAAAGGAAATGAGATATCCTGCAGAATTTTGCACACCCCAGGTTATTTCAGCAGCAGTTTGAGCAAGAGACCTATATTCTGCTTCAGTTGACGATCTAGCTACTGTTGCTTGTTTCTTAGCACTCCAAGAGATGAGATTAGGGCTTAGAAAAACATAACCACTGGTAGATCTTCTGTCCACAGGACAATTTGCCCAATCTGCATCAGACCAAGCAGTGAGGTATTGAGTGCCTTTAGTGAACCAAAGACCAGAATCAATAGTGCCCTTGAGATATCTCAAAATACGCTTGACTGCCTGAAGATGAATAGTTCTTGGAGAATGCATATGTTGACAAACTTGATTAACAACAAAGGCTAAATCAGGCCTTGTCCATATGAGATACTGTAAAGCACCAACTATGGACCGATAAGAAATAAGATCGGATAAGAGAGTGCCTGAGTGATCAAGTTTTGAGGCAGACACATGTGTTGCACAAGGTTTAACTCCAAGCATGTCTGTTTTCTTGAGTAAATCTAAAGCATACTTAGACTGGTGCATAAACAGACCCTTGGATAACCGTTGAACTTCAATGCCTAAGAAATAATGAATATCTCCCAGATCCGAAACAGGAAACATAGCTTGAAGCTTGAGATGATGGATTGACACTCAGTGGTTGAACTTCCAGTGATGATTATATCATCAACATAGACCAAGATGAAAGTAATGGAAGTATCTCTTTTGATAAAGAGACTTGTATCAGAGTAGGAGGTACTGAAACCCAAAGAGACAATAGCATTATAGAAGGCTTCATACCAAGCTCGAAGAGCTTGTTTAAGACTATAGAGTGATCTTAAGCTTGCAAACATGATAAGGTTTGGAAGGATCCACAAAACCAAGAGGCTGGATCATGTACATATCTTCCTTCAAATGACCATGCAGAAAAACATTACTTACATCCAATTGATGTATAAACCAATTATAGTTGACTGCAATAGATAGTAGAATCTTGATAGTAGTAGGTTTTGCAACAAGACTAAAAGTTTATGAGAAATCTAAACCTTCTTGTTGATGAAACCCTTTGGCAACAAGTCTTGCTTTGTACCTTTCAATACTACCATCTGGTTTGTGTTTAACTTTGAAAACCTGTTTGCAACCTATAAGGTTGTAATTGGAGTTATGTGGAACCGAATCCCAAGTTCCAGTCGATTGCAAGATTTGAAATTCATATTGCATAACTTTCATCTAGTGAGCATGCTTGGATACTTGGAGAAATGTAGATGGAGTAGAGGGTAACTTTGTGAGAGGATCAACAATGGATGGAAGGTGATGTTTGGTTGCAGTAAACACCTTGGGTTTATGAATACTTGCCTTTTCTCTTGTAACCATTGGATGAGTATTGACAGAAGCTAGAGGTTGTGAAGAAGATGGTTGAGAAGTAACTGAGGTAGATAAGATAAGACGAGAGGACTCTGTGTTAGGAGAAGCTGTTGATGAGGAACTCAATATCTCTAGGGGAGTTGCAGGTGTATGAGGCTTTGTAGGATACAACACAGGCAATGGAAGAGACATAAGAGCAATGGTGTGATAATGTGAACATGTATTCTGAACTGAGACCTGAGAAGTGAGATGTTGATAAGGAAACACAGATTCATCAAATACCACATGTCTCGAAATGTAAAGCCTATTAGTGACAACATCCAAGCATCTATAACCACTGTGATTCAAGCTATAACCCAAAAATACACACTGTTTACTCTTGGCATCCAACTTGTCACTTGCATACGATTTTAGCCATGGATAACAAGCATAACCAAAAGTCTTTAAGGTATGATACTTGAAGAGGCATGAAATAGAAGTTCCCAATGACTGATCACAGAAGACTGATGAGGTAATCGATTAATAAGATATATAGCAGTTTGGAAAGCTTAAACCCAAAACTTTGCAAGTAAACCACTGTGAGATAATATGGTTCTGCCCATTTCAACAACATGATAATGCTTCCTTTATGCACACCCATTTTGCTCAGGAGTGTGAGGACAACTCAACTGATGGGTGATACCTTGATCATTAAGAAAGCTTTGTAATGATTTATTTAGAAATTCACCCCCTAAATCAGATCTTATACATTGAACTTTGAGCTCAAGTAAAGTTTGAACCTTTAAGATAAAAGTCTTAAACGTGGAGAAGACATCAGACTTGAAGTATAGAGGATAAAGCCAGCTATATTTAGTAAGGTCATCCACTATTATTATGTAAAACTTGTATCCAGTACATGAGGATGTGGGAGAGAGACCCCATACATTAGTATGAAGTAATCGAAGTGGCCTAGTGGATGTACAAGGTAAAGCTGTAAATGGTAGTCTAGAAGCTTTGCCTAATTGACAAGCTGTGCACATAAACAATTTATTAACAGAACCAACTATAGTCAGATGCTTTTTACTCACCACAGAACTTAAAATGCCACTAGAAGGATGCCCAATGCGTTGATGCCAAATTTGGAAATCAGCCTTAGCAATCATCAGAGCAGTTGGTGAGATTGCAATCCCAGAGACACTATTTGAAGCATTCCAGTATAAGGGATACAAGCCTCTTTCACTAGGGCCCTGGAAAAGCATTTCCCCAGTTCTTAGGTCTTTGACATAGAATACAAAATGATCAAATGTCAGAGAACACCAATTGTCATATACAAACTTGTAAACAGAGAGCAAATTATGAGATGCATGAGGAACTAAAAGCACATCATTCAATCTAAAGGTAGCATTATTTGTGCGAATGAAAGCAGATCCAGTATGAGAAATGTACAGACCTTTTCCATCACCAACAAACAGTTGATCATTGCTAGAGTATGAAATTGCATAATTGAGTACAGAAGGGTCAGGGGTGACATGATGAGATGCACCACTATCAGTAAGCCAATAGCTAAGAGAGGCATATGCATTCATAACAGACATTGCAGTAAGAGCTTATGCATTCGACTTCGAGGAAAATTAAGAGAAACGATTGCATGTAGGAGCCCAGTGACCATATTGAAGACATAGCTGACATTGAACAGAGTGCCCAGATAAGTTGGATTGATCGAATGTCTGACGAGAATGGCCAGCACCAAGAATACCACCAGAGTTGTTGTGATTCCAGTTGTTAGGTTTGTGTCCCCCAAAATTACGATTCTGATTGTACCAATGTCGATTTTGGAAATGACCACAAGAATTACCTTTGTTCGACTAAGCACCAGAGGTGTTAGACTGTGCCGCATAAGCATGAAATGGTGCAGTGGAGGAGAAGGAAGCTCTGGTTTTGCGTTTTTGGAGTGAGATCTCTTTGGTCAGTAGAAGGCCATGAAGTTCATCAGCCGTCACAGACTCATTGCGAGTCTCAATAGAGTTAACAAATGACTCATAGTCATCAGGAAGACCAGATAAAATATATGCAACGAGATCATATTCAGAAATTGGTTCACCACCAGCAGTAAGTTTATCAGAGATATCTTTGATCGAATTAAGATAATCAATCATGGAAGAGTCACCTTCTGAATCGTTTGGATCTTCAATCGAAGACTGTGAACATGTGTGCATAAAGCACTAGAGAACCGTCGCTCAAGAGACTGCCAAATGGAGCGAGAGTCTTCCATTCCAATAGTCAAAGGAAGAAGATCTTCGGAGAGCGTTGAGTTGATCCAGATCATCAGAATTTGATCACACTCACACCAGGTCTCATAGAGAGGATTGAAAACACGAGATCCAGAGGAATTGAGAACAAATTCAGAAGGGCAGAGATCATCACCATTGACGAGGCCAAGAAGCTTGAAACACTTCAGTACAGGAATGAAGAGATTACGCCAAGTGATGTAGTTCTGACGATTGAGCTTCGTCGGAATCATTCCAGCAACATTTTCAATGGAAATCGATCCAATCGACATGATCGAAAGATTATAGATCTCGCTAGAAGGGAGATTCACTCGAGAATTAGGTGAAGAAGGAGAGTTGGAGGACTTCGCAGTAGTCGCCATAACCTAATTTAGTGAATTGAGGACGAAAAGAAAGAAATCCAAGATGGAGCGACCTGTTTGGGAGATAGGAAAATTCAAGAAACGCAAGAAAGTTTCAAGAAAGAGAAGGAAGTTGAGGATCGAAGTCGGTTAGACAATGGTGATGATACCATGTAGAAACTGAGAATCTAGAGAGAGATTTCAGTTATAGAGAGAGAGAGAGAGAGAGAGAGAGAGAGAGAGAATTGTAGAGAAAGAGAGTAAAATAAGATTAACATTAACCGATCATTACATAAGGTATTTATACATAAATATCTTATCCCAACCATATGTGCTAGCTAAGCATAATGTACAACTAATCACTAACCATGCTAAGCTTAATAGCTAAGTAAACATTTAATCTGGTACATTGTTGCTGTGAGAGGTTGTACTCTCAACAGACAAAAGCATCACATATAAATTTGATACGAGACGCAAAAATAGGTCACATAATGTTGCATGTTGTGACGCATACTTTGTCACACATATTGGTACTAAGTGACGCAAGTAGTGTCACACATACTATAAATATGTGACGAATTTAAAATTCGTCAAACGGACTATAGGTGACTGTGTATATGTGACGAAAATTGTGAAGCTAGAATTTGGTCACATATAGTCAAATGTGACGAATTTTCTTGTTTATGTGACGCATGTCTATCGCCACCTAAGCCATGTTTTCTTGTAGTGTCAACCATCACTTAAGTTGTGCTTGAACTCATGGAACTCCTCCTAAGGAGTTTTGCCGTTCTCAGGAGGAGAATCCTAGGATTTCTGAGTTTCTCCCATGCCAACTACCGGTTTTTCTCCCTACTTGGGTTTTTTCGAGTCGTCCCAATGAAAAGCATACGTTTCATTTTTTAGAGAGAAACAAAGATGAGCTATTGACATGGAGTTCTTGTGATTATGCTGCTGGGCAATTCGTGAACGTCCAAGGGAGAGTATTGCAGGACATTTATGTCCGTTCACTAATCGGTGTAATCGTTGAGTCATTGAATCCTCAAATGAATAGGCCATTCATTCATCAATTGATTAGAAAAATTGATTCTTCCTGTTGAATTATAAATATATGTGTAATTTTTCAGGATAGCTACACCACTATACAAAGGTGGCTTGCCTCACATTGTAATAGATGAATTCTCTAATAAAAATTCTCTCATTCTCTCAAATTATTTTCCTCTACAACAAACTCTAGTTTGAATTGTAGTACTTAATACTCTCATCATCAACTTTTAAATTGAGGAAATTATTAGCCTTCGTTAAATTAATTTGGATGATATTTTTAAACGCTAATCAACGTGCTCAAACTCATGAGTTTAAACCAAAACCTTTTCAAAAAGCAGAAGTCAGCCAAATACCAACCCTACAAAGGCACTAAGAGTTGAAGAGTTTTGGCGCTTTTTATCAGTCACTCACCTAAACAATTATGTAATATATTCTCCCAATTGAAAAACAATTATGTAATTAAATTGGTTTGCGAATCGCGATTAGACTACTTTTGGTAGTTGCCCTAAGTTAAAACCTTGAACCAAATTCCGACTAGTAGTAGTGGCAGCACAGGTCAAACTGATAGGCAACTGCCCCCGCCGGAGCCCATTTTTGTCTATGACCGCATGCCAGCGAGGTGAAATTGGCCCCAACAAGATAGGTAGCATGCATGGACCACATATTGGCCAGTGTTACTAGTGCTCGGAGTCAGGCAGGCCACCACGCATTAGAAAGAAAGAAATGGGTGTTGTTAGGTCCTCTTTTGCCTCATCACCAATTAAGATGAACCAACAAAAGTCGTTGGGTTAGTGATCTAGGGGAGCCCCCTTTAAATCATGCCTTCAACTTTAGATTGAACATCATCTCACATACATACATATATATATATATATATATATATGTGTGTGTGTGTGTGTGTGTGTGTCATAACAGTAATAGTAATTGAATTTGTATTCTAATAAGCACAAGTCAAGCTCATGTACATTTAGGGTTTGACTCAACTTTCGTATGTGTAACTTTCATTGTTCCAAAAACGGAAAAGTCACTTGGCAGCATGTCTCTCTTACCCTTGTATTCTACAATTCTTTCGAATTCTCATATTTTACAAGTTAGTTAGCAGTATCTGTTTCTGAAGTAAATATTCTTCTCCCAAAGATTAAAATTTGGGTCCTTCATTGGCTGCTGTTCTTCTAGTGCATGCAGTGAGTTTTAAATTCTTCGTAGATTATGTATAACTAAACCCTAAATGAATTAATTAGTTAATGATGTACGGAGTTGCGTCTCCATGCTGCAGCAGCATCTGAATAAAATAGTTTGTGATCTTCATTGTGAAAGCAAGTCTTCATAACAACGTGGCTTATCTACGTCCAAGGGACTGCCAACAAGTGGTTTGTTAGGCATATTTCTGATTGGTGATATAGCAGCGTCAACAGTGTCTAGTAGGCAATATGATCTTCACTTTGACTCCTCCTTACCAATAAAGATATTGACCTTTTCTTCTCAAGTCCCTTGACATGAAACCCACCAATTCAATACGTTGGAAAGATCATGATATAATTTTAGTGGTGTTACTTATCCAACAAATATTATTACGTGTTTAAAAAAATTAACCAAACACTTAATAGTAATACGTGGTATATTAATGATCGTAAAGTATCTATCAGTTGGGGGATCACTTATTCTATAATTCATTAGTTTGGACTTGCCATACAATTCTTGTTGAGATCCAAAACTACTTGACGAAGATCAATGGTTTTAATTTCTCCTATGATACTGATATGTGTCTATAGTATATGGAGCTAGACTAGACATAGATGTCCTAAAAAAATTGGATAGTGACATGGATGATTATCCATGCGTGAACTCAGGAAGAAGAAAAATATTACTTAATGAAACGATAGACAGCACTAGCACACCAACATATACTTTTTAGGACCAAAGTGCCCTACAAAGTGTTATCAACTTATCATCATAGGTTCATAGGGCATAACAAAAGTACTCTTGCCAAATTATTGTAAGTCTAGAAAGAAGATGCCACATGTAAATTAATAATCTTTGGAATAACCTTTTCCTTTTGCTCTAGACATAATTAATTAAATGTAAGTGTAGTGTTGTAGATTTTTACCAAGTTCTAATTTTCATTTTTAAATTTTATCATAAAGAGAGAGAAATGCGCTATTAGTATACTAAAGGTAGAAGTGGCAAATCAACATTTTGGGTTGTTAATGGATACTCACTATGACTCATTTAGTTTAATTTCATTTTACATCATTATCACTATTAATCTCACCTCTATATCATTGTGATACCAAATTAAACAGGTTTTAACGGGTACCTATTAACAAGCCAATAGATTGATTTGCCATCCTAACTAAAGATATGGCCAACACCCTTTATCTTTTTTTAGGGATATGAATTTAGGGTTTTAGAGTTTACATTGTGGGAGCTTTCGTTCGTGCATGTCACAAGATTTTGTTGGAAATATCGAGGCATATCAAGTTCAACAAATTTGTATGGTAATTCAATTGTAATTTTATAATCCAGAGGGGGGGAGGGGGGGGGGGTTGAGTTTATTCCAAATTGTATTGGTACCTACTACTAGAGCACAATATTTAATTGGGGGTAGTTTTTGCCTTTTGCTTTTTATTTTTTAACTCATTGACAATGCATATACTGATTTAATTATGTGTTTGTCTTTTTTAATTCTGAATGCATGCATGGTGATATTTGATTTATAAAATATATAGTTTATCCCTTTTGATATGGATGCTTGGGTTCTGGAGGTTTGGTGCCCCAGAAAGTATGGACAATCCCGAGCCCGACGTAATATACTTCACCACTGACCTTTCAGTCAGTCTTCTGTTGTGTTTCTCTACGACATTTCGTTATTAAAATTAGGAGTAATTAGGTTTTCATCCTTATTTTTACTACTCTATTGATTAAAACCTTATTACTTTTCAATTTTTGATCAAGGTCCTTTGTATTAATAATATCATTAATTATTTCAATAATAAAAATATTTTTTATTTCTAAATATATTCATTTAATATTAAAAATATTACAATTAGTATATTTATATTTATGGCTAAATTTTTTATCATATATTTTTATTTTTAGTTTGTACCCATTTTTAATTTGCAACCCTTTTTTAATTTGTACCAATTTTCCTTTCAGTTTTAATTTGTACCCATATATTAATTTCTTTTTGTGCCCATATTTTTTAAAGTTTTATTTGTATTGTACCCATATTTTTTTATTTATTTGTACCCATTTTTATTTTTGCTAAATGTACCCATTTTGAAGAATGTACCCATTTTGAAGAATGTACCCATGTTTTGATACAATAATTTTTTGGTTATTTTTTATGAATGTACCCATGTTTACACACACACACACAATAGTATATTTATATTTTAATATTTTTAATCTCACAAATTATGGTTTTTTATTTAAAATCTCATTACTATAAACAACTATAAATTTTAATTTTTAATTTAAAAAATATAGTAACGTACATAGAAATAAATTATCAATTAATTTCAGGGACTTGGATCAAAAATTGAAAACCAACAAGGTTTCAGTCAAAGACTATTCATAACTAGGGACCGCATCCAAAGTATCCCTTAAAATTATTATACTTTCATGGTTTGTCTAATATCTTTTATTTAAAAAGAAAAAGCTCAAAACTCCTTTATACGACATCATTAAGTAGAATATTGCGTAGGCTGAAATACGAAATGTCACTAACAATAAATTTAGTGAAACATTATCGCAAAAAGAAATGGAAATAATAAATAGGTTTGTAATTAGTTTCTGACCAATTAAATTTAGTCAAATAATCTTTTCAACAAATAGTAACATCAAATGACAGTGTGATCATAATGTTAAATTTTCTCGTATTGTATTGGTGTATACAGTTGTAAATCGGTTCATATCATATTAGTCTTATTATAACATGATGAAGCCATTGAAATGTTTTATTTTTATGAAATCTT